AAATGTGCGCCTAAAAATTATTCAAGAAACCAAAGATGATGTATGAAGGAATGATTCTCCTTTAAATGATCTAGAAAAAGTCAGTGACGGTATATTATATCTATCTTTTAAGATTACCTTGTTAAAATAACGGGACGCAGACGCCGTTGTAAGTGGGTAGGGTATAATGTATAAAGATCCACTCGTTCGAAGTCGCAGACATCTACCGGCATTTTTTCCTTTTTAATGAAAATTATAATTCGCGCGGTTAGTTTTAGAGTGACCTAACTCAAAATTTAAGTAAAATTAGATAAATGCACTGACATTACTATAATAACGCCATCATCATAGTTTTATACGATTTGCCAAAAAAGTGTTTTTTTTTTTTAATTCGGTCACTGTAATACTAAGCGTGCGAATTGTACTCTAGATAAATAATTTATCGCAATTTAGGTAAGAACCTATTTTCTCAAGAATGTACCTCAGATTCAATGTGCTTCGAGTTTCTCCCGAGATTATCCTAATTCCCTTATTCTGTATTAAACCAGAACTGATTAGTTATTAAGTGTGCGTCGGACGGGCCTAATCAGAGGATAATTGAGTATGTTACGGACTACGGCCATGATTTGGCGAAATAGCCTTGGCAATTTAATTACAAATCATTCAAATGATTCGCTTTAGCGACAGATTGTACTTAGAAGAGGACAGTTGTCATTCTAAATAAAAAATGTCATAAATAATTATTACAGGAATACCTTGTATAGTTTTGTAAGGAACCAGCTTATTTCCATTACCGTGAATTGAGACGATACAGATGGCGCTAGTGTAGAGGTTTTTACATTAGGGACGCGCACGATCTTTATTAAATACTGTCTGTAATTTACACGAGATTTCAATAAAACACTTTAGCCCGACGTTGGCACGAAACGAAAAGTCAGGCCGTAGTTGTATAGTTGTTGGCCGTATTTCCAAACAAATTTTACTAATATATAACGCGTTTAAAACCGAAAAAGTATTTTATTTAAATAATAATTAATTAACTAATATATTTTACATTTTTAAATCGTTGAAACGTTTAATAACTAACGTACTTTGTAACTACAGAAAATCTTAAAAATGTTAAAATAAATTGTTTTATTTCTTTTTAGACTTTATTTCGTTCTATGTAGTAATATATGAAGCAATCAAAGAATTTTATTTATTCATAATATTGGTGGCAATAGCGCACGAACGAATCAGTACATAGGGGTGCTGGGTAACTAAGGCGTCGGACGGATTTATAATTCTAAATAGGTCTTTCCAACACCTGACCCGTGTTGCGAAAGGGTTAATGTGTATTAGTTCAAGAACTAAATGTACCATGATTGATTACGTATTTATAGGCGAGGGTTGAGTTTTATTTATACTGTTCTGCGTTTACGCAGTTCGTTTATTTGTTCGATAGTGACGCTGTGATCCCCATTATCAGATTATTGGAGGAAATTTTGCTAATTTAATACCATTGTTCTGTACGTGGACTGATTGACAAAAATATATGAATTAGAAAAATTAGTTTAAAGTCTAATTGTGGTAGCACAAATAAATATGTATTTCAATTAAATTAAAAATCTATTAATATTGATGAAAATTTAAGTCCGGCCAGACTTTAAAAACACATTATAATGATATTATAGTCCCTAGTTCAAGTTCTGTCAGTAACATTGATTTATTATGCTGTCATGTGAAAAATATGAAACGTGTATCAAACTTAGGTATTATAATTTTGAATTCTTGAAAGTTGATATTAATTTACATGTGGTAACGGGTATGGTAGATTTTTAAAAGTAAAAACAATTTTATGTGTGTGTGTTATTCCAGTTAATATTAAACATTAATTAACTAGATAGTAAAATTCTTAGTGGATAGCCTACACTATCACTAATTAGTTTTGTATAATGTAAAATCGAAAATCTTCTGAACATGAAAAATTATTTTAAATATGGCGTAGGAGTCATAAGTAATTGATACGGTGTGAACATTTGAATAAATGTAGCTTGGCAGGGCGCGATGTTTAATCAATTCGACACGTTCGTATTTATTCGACTTATTAATCGAGTTGAAATCGTGGAGTGATGATTACATACTTAACTTTAGCATCTATGCGGGGTGTAAAGCACTACCCCGGAATTGCTAACAAATACAATTTTTAACAATTGATAATGAATTTATGTTATTGCTTTACTGAAATCGTAAAAGTAATTACAAATATATTTAGAGGGCATTGTTTTAATCAAGAATGCCAAGAGCATTTAAAATATTGGCAAATTACTCAGTTGTTTTCGATGCAGCCGCTCGGTGTCCACTGCTGGACATAGCCTCCCCCATAGACTTCCAGTACGACCGGTCGTTTGCTAGTTGAATACAGCGTTTCCCTCCTACCTTGACCAGGTCGTCGGTCCACCTGGTGGGAGGTCGTCCAGGTTTTCGACTCGGTTGTTTTACTTAAATACTAAATATGTACAAGTGAAATGATTATTTTTGGATGGAATCTCTGCTAACAACGTCACTTTAAACCGCGTAGAAGCCACTTAACCGACTTTTCGTTTTTTTAAGCGATATCATGACACGAAGCAGATGTTTCTCGTGAATTACTTTTTCACTTTATTTACGACTCGTTTCTTTTTCCGTTCAACACTAAAGCTGATAAGGTACAGACTGCAATGAGTATACTCACCGAAAAAAGAGGAGTTTAAACTTACCTAAAGGCTAAATATGTGTAAAATATCGACATGAAAGTTAGGTTCTGACATGTTTATTATAAAACTTTGAAATATTTTTTACTTTGAAGTTGAACTCTGGAGCGTCACACAATAATTTTCTAAACGATAAATGTCATTAAAGTTTGAGCGAAGGAAACAAAACATAGACTACTAGCCTTTTTTAGAAGGCAGGGCAATTAGTAACTACGAAAATGAGGTACAATGACTATCATCTTGTTTCCGTAATATAGTAGTCTAATTTTCGAAATTAACATTTTAATGGAAAATACATTCTTTATATATATTGTATATTCGGTATATAAATCCGAAATAGTAAAAAAAGTTTATAGGTATTAGGAATGAAGAAAAAGAACGAAAGCAAAAATGCAATTTTGGAAATAAAGAACGATTTGCACATGAACAGTCGTTAAGTGCGAAAATCAAACTTTTTAGTAGTACTGGGTAGTCATAGTTTACATCCACATTTTTGATGAGTATATGAACAGTAAAGCCATAACTCCTACATGCAAAGAAGAACCTAATCGTCTGTCTTTTCACTCACGAGAACGGGCATAAATTATTCTTATACAAGCCAGCGTTAACAACAAATAAACACCAAAATGTATGGTCGAGCTATTATCGTACGTATTGTCGAAACGTGTAACGTGTAATCGTTCACTAACCTTATCGGACGAGGAGCAGCGCAAAACACTTATCACTCAAACAATAGTACACAAACGACACACTACTTGGTTAAATTATGTCATGAAAGGTAACGTAGACTCGAGATTAATGTGCGTAACACGAAATACGCGTACCTTTGACAGCGCGGGATCGCGAACTGTGAAAAGTGGATAGAGTGTGTTGTCTATGGTGACCCGCGCATGCGTAAGCGGCCAAGGTCACGCCGCGATTCCACCATTTTACTTATGGCCCGCGCCAATGATTTAAAAATTATTATGCTCCTATGAATATATAAGTAATAATTTGAATATGTTCCAATGTTATAATTTATTATAAGATTTTGTAACAAAACAATACAGGATCATCATTAATTTTTTACCCCTGGGCATGGAACCTTTACTAGGATATAAGGACAGACAATAAAGCAGTTCCGTCAAGATCTCTGTAATGATATGGTATAATAAGTCATAGTAAAGCTTTTCGTTATTTATACACTTATTGTACAGAAAACTGTGTAGGTTTGTGATCTCCGTGCCTTTCTAGTTTTCTTTCTTCCTTTTAAAATATTTATATTGTAAGTATAGCTAACATTAGATCTATAAAAAAAACTTAGGGTTAAAAAGGTAAGCACGTAAATTATTAAAGTGTGTGAGTTCCCGTTTCCCCCTCGTGGGGCATGGGGGCGAACACATTTCTGTGTCCGTTTCACTGATCCGTTCTTTAACAGGCAAGTAGTTGATCCAACTTTTGTGCGTTGCCCGACCGAAACAATTTTTTTTTGTTTCCCTGGGATTCGAACCCAGAACCTCCCACGCGTAACGCAATGCTAGGCAACACGTTTAACCATTTGGCTACAGAGGCGGTCAATTATTAAAGACACATTTGTAAATAAAAATATGTATACCTTTAAATATAAAGATTTATTTTTGATCCCAAAAAATAATAAAAAACAAAGAAAACATTTCTTCTACTGTAAAAATTGTGTAAAACAGACTTTATAGACAATTTATATTTAAAAAAAGTTTGACTTACTTTGTTATTAGTCTATAACGAGAGTAAAGTTAGAAAATTAATTTAAAACGCCAATTAAACATGAACAAAGATTGCTTTACTTTGGGACAATAATAAGTAACGAAACGTATATTTTATAAAAGAAAGGAAACCAGCTCACTTAACAACCCAACTAACTTAGCAACTTTTAGAGAAAACTGATTTAAAATCTAGCTGACGAAAGCAGCAATTGATGTTCTGTTACTTCAATAACTATACAAAATATAGTGAAGGAAGTGGCAAATACATTAAAGTCCTATCGATGGATGTTTTATCAAGACTTCTGAAGTAAAAAGTCATTTAAAACTTGACCTTCAGTTTTCTAAATCTGTAAATAAATCAACTATGAGTTGAACTTCATTTCGTATAAACGGAACTTAAATATAAAATAAGTCTATAGATAAATCCATAGAGGGCGCTTTTAAAAGAAACTAAAATTTTAGTATACTTAAACAGGCGGTACTAAATAATGTAGGAAAAGCTGAAAAGATTCAAAGAAAAAAAAACTTAACTGTTCATTATGATCTGCCACTTTACGGCTTTGTCTTTTTAGACTTTGGATATTTCATAGCTGTGCTTGACGAGGCAATGGCGTTTCAATTCGGAATACTTGCGGAACTTCTCTTTGCAAAGCGCGCAATCGGCGATCGTCTTTCTCACGTTGTGCACTTTCCACTCGTGGTCCCACTTATCTTTCAAGGACCTCAATTTCTCCGGGCAGAATTTGCACGACACGCCGAAAGCTTCCTTGTAGTGCGTGTTCTTGATGTGCTTCTTGAGCATGGACATAAAGTGGAACAGCTTCCCGCAGTAGTTGCAGGGGACCGGCGGATTGGCGTCGTGGCGCGCGATGTGCACGACGAGGGCTTTCTTGGTCTTGAAACGGCGACTACACAGGTCGCACTGGAAGTACATCTCGCCGTGGAGCTTTTTGTGCTTCGAGAAGTTGCTCGAGTCGCTAAACGATTTGTCGCAGTGAGTGCACTTGTAGATCGTGAGTTTGGCGTGCTCGCGGAGATGAGCCTTGTACTTGTCGGTCCTGCAGAAGCTCTCCAGCTTGCAGATGTCGCACAGCATGCAGAGGGAGCCGCTGCTGTCCACCGGACCCTTAGCTAGAGTACTCCTGATGACGTGTTCGATCAAGTGGCGCTTCAAGTCACTGAGGCGGTCGAACCTCTTCTTGCACACGACGCACGTCTGAAAGCAAAAGCGATAGCAATTAAAATTAGATTTTTCGGTACAGCCTGATAATCGAAATTAAGGTTGTTTGTTCTCTAAGTCGGTCAGGAAAATTGTATATACATTCAGTAATCCATTGCGACGTACGAAGGACTTGACGTTCGGTCCTCGACATCAGGTGATATTCAGGCTTCCTCGGCTAAGCGAAAAGTTGATGAGATCTCCAAATGATGCCATCCACTCGTCATGGGAAAAGGTCGACAACCATTTCTCACTGACGACGGCTGAACAGCTCGAAAAACCAATTACGTTAACGTAACGGCGAACGCTATTTTACATTTCAATATTTTTCTTTCACCATTTTTTTAAATTAAAAATTTGTTTACTTTAAATTTACCCGAAAAATAAAAGGAGCGATATACCTTCCGTATAGGTGTCTTTTTGTTTCTTTTACTGCTCAAGAGGAAATCCTCGTTAGATAACACCTTGGCTATAACCGCGTCGGCTTCGAGTGCTCGCATGTCCCTTATCCTCGGTGACCGCCGAAGACGATTATCGACCTCGCCCATCGGCTCAATGTTCACGTCGACCTTGACGGGAAATTGCAGAAGGTCGGCGTCGCGAGCCGCCTTCTCCAGCACCCTCGTCGGGGATTGGTACGTCTCGATCTCCATTTCCATCTGCGGTGAGGCGATCTCCTCTATCTCGAACTGAGTACTGATCAACATGCCACTGCTGGCGCTGTCGTATTCCGCCATGACGTCAGACTCGTTCAGCGCCTGATGGGTTTTCATGTGCGCTAGATAGTCCTCGCAATTGTCGTAGGAGAAGCAGCATCGGCTGCAAAAGTAAGTGAAATGCTCTTTTTTAATATGGCGCAACATCTCCTCCTGGTTATAGATCTCTTTCCGACAGTAGTCGCACTCGTACGGCTTGGAATGCATTCGGACTTGGTGCTTCTTCAGGGCGTCGACTGTGTCGTAGGTCATGGAGCAGAAGTCACACGCTTGCGGTCTTTGGTGTATTTTCTTGTGATTGCGCAGCGAGTATTTCGACGAGAGCACCTTGAAGCACTTGTCGCATTCAACGTTTGGGTCACCGTGACCTGGAATCACGTTTTTGCAGTTTATTAAGCTGTGGCCACATTTGTTTTATTAAATTTATAAAATAAATAAATAAACAGCCTAAAACAATTCTACCCAAAGTCACTATTCTACGCGGACAAAGTCTTGGGCACAACTAGTAAAATATATATAGTCATGTAAGAAATTTCGCAAAGTTCGTAAACTTACGAAATCGGGTTGATTCCCGCCTACTCCCTTCATGTAGATACCTAGAACCAACGAAATGTTGCTGCAGCAGTCTGACCAGTAAAGAAGAAGCCCAAGGCAGCAAATGTAACCAGAATAACCACTCAACTGTCTGCGCCTTTTAATTTTTTATCTCTGGTTCAGTCTTATAGCTTTGTATGTTTGTATCCTAATTGCAAAAAATATGAATATTTCGAAGCTGTAGTAAGCTAGAATTGAATAAAATTGAATCGAATTTGATAAAATAAAAAGGGAGAAAAAAAACATATCCGTCGAACTCTGATAGTGCCGGCAGAAGTAACAACTTACATAATATTAACGCTGTGCGGATATTATATTTTGGTTGAGTAGTATTCATTGTCATTATAGAAAAACTATAATTTTTGTGGTTAAATACAATATTATTAGTTATTATGACAATTGTTAACAGTTAACATAACGATTTATAATGTCTTGTCTTCCCCCGTCTTACGATTTCCATTTATAATAGTAAAAGCACAGTAATTCTAATAAGTAATAGAGCAATTCATACTTTGCTTTGTTTATATGAAGTTTACACCATCTGTAATGCGTGTATACGTATTGTTTATACGTATATACAAAAACAATAATCGTTATTTATCAAATTATACATATGTTTTGAAAAAGATGCACAGTGATTTAAGAATTTCACTGCAAAAGCGTAGCCGAGCTACCTATTACTATAGAGTAACTTATTTATCTGAATTACGCTGTCATCCCTCGAAAAATGTTTTCGTGATTTTTGCTAAACTACCTAATTTTAATAGATTTTTTCAACAACAACCATTAACTCTCAACTCCACGTACTTGTGTCGGGGAGGAGATGACTTCTGAGGTAAATGGGCTGAACAATTTTTCGAATCGTATTAGATACTTCCAAGATAACCGCGTTCTAACATACAGAAAATAGCTTACCTAAGCTGTGTTGCTTGAATTTTTTTCGGTCCCTGAACGATTTAGTGCAGATCTTGCAGGTTTTCTCATACGGGTTCAAGTCCAATTTGACTTTCGATTCCACCGAATCTTCTCTCTTTCGCTTTCTTTGTCTTTTAGGAGGCTCTTCAAATACTGTAAAGTACATATCTTATGAAAGCAAAGTTGTGAAGTTTATTTTCACAAAAAATGGAAGGTTTTATTTTTTTAGTTTCCGTGTAGCTAAAGGCAATGAAGATTTTTACAGCGATGCTATTGAGGTGGTCAGGTACTGCTTATTTAATTCCTTTAAGTTTAATTTCAAACTAACTTAACTTTGTTATATAAAATGAACTTTAATTTAATGATTGTTGACTGTAGTGCATAATTTAAGCGGGTATAAGTTGGCTAACTACATAACTGATTTTTCCATCAGAATTTTGTTTATGTCGGAAAAACAATAATTACCATTGGAAATATCACCATCGCCGTGTGTGGACTTGAACGGCTGATTAGCCTCCGCCTTAGCCTTAGCCCTGCGTACGACTTGAGAATCTCCACCTGAATATAAAATGGTCTTCGGGTGTTTTTCAGTTTGTATTTCAGGAGACATCAACTGCCTCAAGGCGCATTGTTCGGTGAGAGCGATACTGTCTTTCAGGATCTTCCTTCGTTTGATAGAGTAATAGTCGTTTGTGAACGCAGCCGTAGACGTGGTCTGAACCGTGTACTCCTCGCTCTCAGAAGACTCCAAGAAGTAGTCGCCCTGTTTTATCTCGTTGTAACTCTGGCGCAGCAATGACGTCTGATGGTCGTTGCTACTGCGCGAGCAGTCTGAGTGGATACGATCGTTCTCGCTCAGCGACTTCCTGAACTTCTTGTGTCTGAATGATTCTGGAGAATACCTGGTGTGTATGTTGTCGCTCCGACCGATGGGCGCAGATGTCGACTTGTGTGTCGTCTGCGTATGAGTGATGATCGTGGTGGTCACTTGCGTTATGTTACCGTCTACCACGATCTTCGTCGAACCTTTTTTCCACAAATCCTGGCACTCTAGAAGGTTATTATAATCGCAAATATTGTCTAATTCCATGTCCAGCCACCCGAACGGTTCCGGGGAAGCGCCCTCCTGTTCATCGTGCCGGTATCGTAGGTTCCTTAACACATCTTTCACGAAGTCGTCTTGTACTATTTTAACGGTGCAATACCCTGAGTAGACGCTCTTCATTTTCTTTTCGCATTCCATGAGCAGAATAAGTAAATCGAGGAGGACATCTTTTTCCTTCACGTTTCCGAGATCCAACCGTGTTAGTCGTTTCGGGATCAACAAGACGGGAAAACATTCCTCCATAAGATCATCCCCAGTTTCTTCCTCCATTGTTGCACTGCGAAAATAAACGTTTATACAGGTGAGGAGAAACGAGGTTATTGAAATTAAAAACTAAAGAATATGTTTGTATGAAAAAAAACTACTGTTCTAAAACTTACCGGGTGGTCTGATCGAACGCACTTAAGAGAAAGAACGATCGATTTTGCAACTCAGCCACTCTTCAAACTAAACAGTACCTACAACGCACCGTAACGCAGCTAATGCGCCGGCGCATATAACGAACCTCTTAATGTTTATTTTTCTATTGTTAAATAAGATATAATATTAATTTTCCAAATTACATATGAAAAATAAGATTCCATAATAAATGTAAACCGAATTATTATTTTTTCACAATGAAGTGGAAATGCGACTTCTAAAACAGAATATCGGAACGCAATTCCGAGCTTATCGGCTTAGTATCGACTTTGGTTTGACTGCTGTCATTTATTTACTATCGAATTGTAAATGTTTTGTACCCTCACAATATTCGGTAGCGAAAAATATTGTTGAAAATTGTTTCATATGAGCGAAGGCTAGTTAAATCTATAAAAAAGGCCGATTAAAACAAAATATTTAATAATATATATATCTATTATTTTTAAGTTAAAAAAAAGAATACCTCCTGGATCAACGCAATGATGCACGGAAGTTCAATATTCCTACCCACTTTCATCCAGATTTTCTAGACAAAGTCTAAACGTTGGACCCGCTGAAAATCAAACACACGACCCGTTGATTAAAAACATTTAGCTACTATTGGTCTAAAGACTGGCTTGTGTCATGAAATGGACTACTTCAAACAACAAATGGCCTTCAAGATCTACTATTAGTTTATTTTGCGCAAGTACTACAAGTTTAAATTAAACACTTTTAACGGTTTAGAACACCATACCTATTAGTTCTATAGATATTTAGTTATTCGTTATATAGATATTTGTAATGTATATTAACTACGACCCGCGGTTTCAAATGCTTCTATTTAATTATGATAAATTACCTAATATAATTCGAGTTTTAAACTGTTAAAAGTGTTTTATTTACATATGTAGGTAAAGATCGATGCATTATTTATCGAGGGCCTAGTTTATTATAGCTTGTAACCGATGACTCAAATGCGTAATAGAATTCTTTGAATCTTATCTAATTGAGACAACAATAAATTAAAATCAAAGTCAAGGTAAACAAAGTTTCATTAACACATCCCTATCGGCTAATAGATTGTTATCTGTTTGGTATTTTTTTATATATAATACGGGAGCACCTCTGTATTTTCATAACAAAACTTACCACTGAACTACTATGTCTTTATCAAGTCAAATAGCTGTTCTATGCCTGTGTTCCCTTTTGGGGGTTAAAGGTTGGTAGGGGTTACTAACGTTCAGTATAAATCAGTTAAAAATTAACTGTTGTTAAAAATGTTATTAAAAGATTTTAATACTTAAATAATTGGTACTTGTGAAGTACATATATTATACTACCTACCTGCTTGTACCAAAAAGTATTAAAATAATGAATATTAACTATTTTAACTTTTGTTGATAAGTAGTTATTGGAGTTGATGTTGTACATGTACTCACAAGCACATCTCCAATTCTACATTTGCCATATTTACAGGTGTATAAGAAAGCTAGTTCTCAGAACCCAATGGAATTATTTCCTATTTTATCAGTTACAGGAAGCCCAATTGCTGAGCCGCAGTACAATGTCCAAGATTTCTTCTCATCACGTATCGTTGGTGGCATAGAAGCACCCCCCGGCTACGCTAACTACATGGTGGCGTTGGTCTTTGGAGACCTCTTTCGATACGTGGCGTGCGGCGCTTCTATTATATCGTCGACGCATGTTTTGACCGCTGCCCATTGCATTGACCCATTCGTCGACTTTTCGGGAAATCTACTTCCGTATGTATATTTTCTTTTGTAAAATCGAAATATTTTTTACATTTTTAATTGAGGGTAGTCATCATTTCTTTATTGCATTTACTATACTCATCGTGTATAAATAGTAAATACCCTCATTTATGTATTAAAAAACGTTTTAGTTTCTATATAATATTTTTTTCTACCTATGTAAAAATAAATAGATTTTTTTTGTAATGTCAAATTTTCAGATCATTCCGAGGTTCTTTGGGTTCAAACTACTGGGAATCAACGCAGTACATAATAAACTTCAGGGGTCATATCAACCACCCAGCCTGGAACAGACAAACCATTAAAAATGATATTGGTATCCTCTTTACGAGAGACGAGATAAAGTTCAATGACGTCATAGGTCCCATTCCCCTCAAATTCGATCACGTTGAAGGTAGTATCAAAAGTTTCGTCACCGGCTGGGGTGACCCTTGGGTAAGTCCACAACTACTTCTTTTTTCGAGTTAACATTAAAAGATATGAACATTAATATAAGGCAAAAAAAAATCAACTATTTATTCTAAAGAAAATATCGTAAGCGAAACTAACTATCTTTACAGAATATGTTTTATTTTCTTCAACTTAGACTTGAATAACAAGACATTACAATTGCTTTTTTTCAGCTTCATGGGCCAACGCCCGATGCTCTCAGATTGTTGTATACGAGTACGATAACATCCAAGCAGTGCGTAGCGGATGTTAGAAACGCCTCGATCCACCTGGGGTCGGCTCCCCCCCATGACCCCGCTGTGGAAATTTGCGCGTTACATTCGTACGGCCGCGGCATGTGTCATGTAAGCCCTGATTTTTATGAGTTACAAACAAGGGAATCACTTTAAGGAGGGGAAACACCCCAGCCATGTAAGACCTCAAAACGATGTGCTGTAGATCTATTTTCGCGTTGGATAAGAATCAGTCTCTTCTATTATACATATGGCATACGAGCATGAACTTAATATATTCATTAGCTTTAAGCTTACCTATTTTGCCAAAACCTTTTTCATGGGTGTTATCATTCGTTTTTTCAGGGAGACTCCGGAAGTGCCCTGGTGACGTTTGACAGCAAAGAGCAGATCGGGATCGTGTCCTGGGGTTTCCCATGCGCACGTGGCGCCCCAGACATGTTCGCTAGGGTTAGCGCCTACATAGAATGGATCAGTGACGTCATGAGAAATAACTGAAAACATCACTGTTAATTTTTGGCCTGAACACTGTTTTTAGTTTGTCTTACAAAATATTATAAATAATTCGAATTATTGGTGTCTTTCTATTTGGTGAATCCACTTGCAGTACGAGAGACGAGGAATTTGACAGGTTCCTTGGTCTAATGGCAGCAAAGTATTGCTAATAGTCGACGGGCTGTGGGTTCGATCACCGGGTCTAATGCTTCTAATCAATTTTTATATTTTTTTGAGACTTAATCAAAAATATTGTATGAGAGGTAGGAATATTAATATTTCCTTTAATATTAGGCATGGCCTATGTAGCTGAATATCTCTTTTTAGCTCTTGTTTTAGAATCATGTTACTCGGAATTTAAACCCGCTTTTCGGAAAATTTTGTAAAAATGTCTTTGGATTAGTACAAAAATTGTGCAATGACAATAATACAAATAAGTATTATATTGATAACTTACGCTTAATTACAATTTTATCAATGTAGGTATGCCCCAGACAGATTAGACGCTGATGTCACGTGCTATATGTGGGATGCTCTGAAACTGAAATGTAGAATTATTTTTCCACATTACCAGGTACCGTGTGTATATTTTTCTGTTTGTCGACTTTCATCGTATTATAGCTCCTCATCCAGTAAACGATCCTCATCGTCATTCTTTTCTCTTCCTAATAAGAAATGGTATTCGCTACAGCCTTCCGTCTTCCTAGTGAGATCTGAGTATGCTTCAACAATAAATAGGTCAGGGTTCTTCATTTTAGATATCCAGTCACAAATATACATACTAATAAAAAAGTTATATAACAAATACACACACATGTTGAAAATATTTGAATTAATTACAATTTCCTGGTATAAGACATGTTAGGTTTCTTAATCAACCTTCATATATGAGGCTTTAGATCACCCTATACGTAACCAAATAACTAAGAAAGAGTTTCAGTAATATGATAATTTAATAATCACCGCTCGTAATCATGAATAATTAAGATTATATTAATCGTACTATAAAAATCATTGTCGCGTGCATTCGGCACGAAGTCATAATGTTTTACAAAGTGGGAATATTTGCCCTAACGCTTCTAGTAGGCAGCTTGGGTAAGTTCGAAAAACATTTTTTTGGTAAAATCCTTATGTGTATGTAAATCATGTATCTAGAATTCAGTATGTCTTTATCACTAAATATCGTTAAAACAATAGGTTCTTACGTAATTAAATTATAATAAAATTTCAGCGGTTCCCGCTCAAGATGACTTGTCCATCTTCTTCGACCACACCGACTCCGGTTCTCGCATCGTCGGTGGCACAGTAGCGGGTAGCGTCCCCTGGATGGCAGCTCTCACTAATGGACTGCTCGTAAGAAGTCTATGGTGTGGCGCCTCAATCATCTCGGACAGACATCTGCTAACCGCTGCGCATTGTATAGATGGAGCTTTTAGCTGGGGTAGTTTGAGCAGGTTGGTAAAAGAAAATCTAAGTAAACAAGAAAGTCGATTAAAAAGTTTGTTAAAATGTCTTACATTTCCAAATTGGACAACTCGATAAAAACATAGCTTAAGCAAAATAAGAAAGAGGAAATTTCCTTTGTCTAGTTCTCTCCGAGCCACCGTCGGCACCAACCGTTGGAACAGCGGCGGCGTCCACTACGACTTCGCCGGAAACATCACCCACCCCAACTACGTGAAGGGAATTATTAAGAACGACATCGGAATTCTCGTGACTAGAAATGCTATCAGGTTTACAGCTTCCATCGCTCCAGTTACATTGAACTTCGACAACATTGGTGCAGGCGTCCCGACTACTGTTAATGGATGGGGAAGGACGAGGGTAATCTCTTTAATGGCATTAAAACATAGTTTGTGGCCTATTTCAGGCATGTATAGTCATTATTTTACCAATTATTACAAACCTCAAGAGCTGGATTTACGATTGATGCTGTCACTTTGCAAAAATTAGCACGTAGGTAATCAGCTGATTATGAAATGCATGAGAATTTTTTTTAACAAAACAGGCCGGTGGCGCCATCTCAGCTCAGCTTTTGGAACTACAAGCGGCCACCATTGACGGGCTACTCTGTATGATCGAAGTCCCACGCGTCGCCAACGACCTGAACCTACCACAAAGGCCACCACCAGTCGAACCCCATATTGAGATTTGTACATTCCACTCGGTGAACCACGGCACATGCAACGTAAGTAAATTATTTTGATGCATTCTTTTCCCATAGTCTTCTTACCTCTAACATTGTAGTACCACTGTCTCCATTAAAACGAAAGACGATATCATTATTCTACTTCTCTTTCAGGGCGACTCCGGCAGTGCCCTGATAAGGAGAGACAATCGTCAGCAGATCGGTATTGTCTCCTGGGGCTTGCCGTGCGCACGCGGCGCTCCCGACATGTTCGCAAGAGTCAGCGCATACAAGAGCTGGATCGAGAGATCTGTCTTGTAAATATATTTATAAACTGTGATATACTTTGTTTTGGTTTCATTTATTTTTTTCCCTGCCATTATTCTAAAATACCTCCATAATGACCAAATTTCATGATTTATCCGGTTATTCAGTGTTACCTTCCAAATGAAGCTTGAAAAAGTATGGCATTATGACCAACTTCGGCTTCAACCTTTAGATGTAAAGAACATAATCGTATACTTGTCTCGACGCCGATAATTTCATTCTTATAAATAAACTATCTTGAAGTATATACGTCGGACTGATTAAACTGATTTCGTCACGTGTCACACTTTTTCTGTAAATTACGATGATTTCTGACTTTTTGGCTAGTTTTCGGCTACGCTTTCTCTTGCCGAAGTCCAAAGTTCGTTCGAACTTCTAGCGTTAGCGACGAGAATTTGAATACGTCTTAAGTAGATTTCGATGAACATTTTCATAAATACGTTTTAATCGAAAAAAAAACGCATTTACTAATCGATTAAGATCAAACACACTAATTCATTATATAACTAATTAATTATTATCATAATATTTTCATCTGTTTGACTTCGACTAGCAAAACTTACAGATTTAACGTACACATTTTTTTAAAAAATAAATTTAAAAAATATTTTAAACTTATTCTGCTAGTGACTGCGTCCGTTGGTACACTATACCACTCTTTAGGCTTGGTTAAGGTTTATGAAAATATAATTTGATACATTTTTATGTTCTCTCAATTAAGCTATATATTAATTTACGAACAATTTCTACCAACGATGCCACGTTTATAAGCTATAGAAATATGAAATATATTTAATTCTGTATTTTACTCGTAATTCTCTAATAAATACTTCATTTATTAATTTTAAACTTTGGAACACAAATCATACGCATACAAAGTAACATTTTAGTAGTAAAGACTGCATCGGCCTTATCGCTATATGCAATCTCTTCCCAACAACCTGACGAAAAATAATTATTTAGGAATAAGATTTTTGCTTAGCAATTGCGAGTACATACATAAGGCGTTTCCAGCTACTGCAAAACTGGGTTTACGAAACACGAAAATAAGAAGCAGTTTATTATTAGTTTTATACTTTTGATATATTTTTACAGGCGTCAGATTTTATTGAAAGCGCCAATTTGAACTAAATGGTTTATAACCGAGCTTCATAATATAATTTCGTGCAAATTATGCGAGTAATTATTTTGTTTATTTAGAATTACATAGTTCACACGTCACCTTGAAGAACGATAGATGATCTGTGTTTACCGAATAATAATAATTGCAGATAGGTTATAATCGAAATTAATTGATCGAAAGATAATCTGACTATAAAAAGTGAAGAATGTGATTTGAGCAATTAATTAACAAAATGTCGTTCAGAGTGGGATTCGTTGCCTTAACGCTTCTTGCCGGAAGCTTGGGTGAGTTAGTTTTGTATTAAACTACTTTACTAGCAGAGTTTGTAATAATACAAAGGAGATATTTTACTCATTCGGTTGGTGAAGTATCCCATGCCATATAACATGTAAGCGAGATGCGTTTACATGATGCATGTAAAGACCGCTGAAGAACATGCTTAGCTACTTCAAAAGGCATAATATCTTCTATTTTGAAACATTCTGTTACTTTAAGATTTCTTTATGATTCTAACTAAGCCAGTGTTTTAGTAAAAGGTAAACAGCGGCAACGTCTATTGCGGGCTCGAGTGGCCTTTAAATCGTAATACTTTTTGTCAATTTGTTTTATACAAAAATAACAAAATGAAATACCCCTCCAAGCGTATCCCACGGCTGAAGATGACATGTCCATCTACTTCGACCACACGAACCAGAACGCAAGGATCATCGGAGGTCAAGAAGCCGGTACCGTGCCCTGGATGGCGGCTCTGAGCAACGGCTTCCTGGTGAGGAACTTCGTGTGTGGATCTTCAATCCTCACGAATAGACATCTCCTTTCGGCCGCCCATTGCATCCAGAGTCTTTATGATAGAAGCGGTTTAAGCAGGTGAAATATCAAAAAATATATATTAATCTATACTAATATATAAAGTTGAAGAAATTGATTGTTTGTTTGGATGCGCTAATTTTTCACTACTGGTGCGACTTTTTTGATGCCCAAAACAACTATACGCGGATGGAGTCGCTGACACAGCTAGTTAGAAATATGGAATACACATACTTATAGTTGCTAAAATAATTGAATCTATCTTCAGAAACCTCCGCGCCACAGTGGGAACAAATCGGTGGATGTACGGCGGCGTCCATCATGACATAGCCAGGAACATCACCCACCCGAACTATGTGCACATGGCCATCAAGAACGACCTCACCATACTGATAACTTCTAGCAACATTCGTTTCACCAGCTCCGTAGCACCGGCCACCCTGAACTTTAATGAAGTTGGTGGTGACGTCCAGGTCACTGTCCACGGATGGGGTCACACGAGAGTAAGTTTAAATCTGAAGTAATCTTTGTAGCATCCGATGAGAATCGTCCAATATACTATACCTCCAACATACGGGTAAAGAAAATGATTTGCAATATTTGAAGCAACTAATTAAATTCTAAAGATATGGAGTACCTGACTATGTAAAATAAATGTGTGTTAACAAATTTCATATTGTAACAACTTATTATCGAATTTTTAAGTGCCTACCAGTTACTATATATAGGTATATAGTTTAGTAGTTATCGATATAGCGGAAACAGGCAAATAAATAAGTTATAGTAATAAAGTTCAATTGTTTGGCTACTCATCACTTAAAAGTTCCAGGTCCTGGACTAATATAACTTTATTGTTCAGGTCAACGGTGCCATATCCGGCCGTCTGATGGAGCTGCAGACGAGGACCATCGATGGGCCGACGTGTGTGCGAGAGGTGCCGCGCATCGCACAGCAATTCAACATGTGGGTTCCAAAAGTTGAGCCACACTTGGAGATCTGCGCTTTGCATTCAGTGAACCATGGGACTTGCAATGTAAGACAGCATGTTGTTTTACACCACATAGAAAACTGGACGACAAATTTTTAGTAATTGAAATGTTAACTATAATTATAATTATTTGGTTGTCGGTTCCCCACACATGTATCCACATTGAATGTTGATAAAAATGCCTAGTACAGAGAGTTATTAATAAATATTAAAACTTCCAGGGCGACTCCGGCAGCGCCCTCATAAGAAGCGACAACCGACAGCAGATCGGTGTTGTATCGTGGGGAGTGCCCTGCGCACGCGGCGCCCCTGACATGTTCGTGAGAATCAGCGCTTACAGGAACTGGATTCAGAACTCTATTCGTTAAACTGTGATATTTTGTATTTTATATTCGAAAAGTATTCACTTATCATAAAACTTTTAATACATAAAATGTGTGAATGTAATGTGTTTTATTTACAACCATTATATTTAGTAATTTTGTATTACTATGATAGTATATTATGATTCTATATATTTAATAACAAGTAAATAAAGTTACGGTAAAGTGTATTTAATTGACTATCATTAAGTCCATTAGCACAGGCGATAATCACAAATATAATCAACAAAAAGTATTTAAATATGTATGATTAATTTATATTATCAAAATAATCAAAGATAGTACAAGATAAAATACTTAAAATCTTAGTTCCTTTTTGATTTTTATTCAAATTTGAAAGCGGCTAATAATGCGCTGTTCAAGCGTTTACATATTGACTACTGCGATATTGGGAAGTGTGGGTAAGTCTAAGTTAAAATTGAAATATATAACAACATTTTTACACGACGAGTTTTACGGCGATGTTTAACAAAATATTGTGTTGCTACCATTATGCTGTTTGTTTTTGCTCTTACGATATCGGCACGACGCATGACGAAACTTCAACTTGAAATAAGATACAGTAGAAAAGTTTCATCTATCTTAAAAGGAGTGGCTTAATTTGGGAACTGGTAGTAAATGTAAATTTAGAGTTTTTAATTCTTAACTGTTTGGACGTTCATAAGTATACCTGATTTTAAATAAATGCACTAAACTTTCCCCCGTTGCAAGATGAATCCAACCTCTCACAGTATTTCTCAAACAGCCGAGTAGTAGGGGGCGAGGACGCAGCGGAAGGGAGCGTGCCGTACATGGCGGCGCTAGTCCACGGTTTAATGGTGGCTGCCTTCCAATGTGGTGGCTCCTTGATCACAACTAGACACGTCCTCTCTGCTGCTCATTGTTTCGATAGGCTCTACTCGAACGGCGAACTAACACCGTGAGTATACTATAAAATGAGAATATTATAAATATACAGAAATTATACAAGTATGTATATAAAGAATATATTAATGGTTAACTACTACATACGCTAACTTTGCTGCGGAAGGACATCACACAGCTGGTGCTGCAACAAATCTGTTGCCGATTTTCAGTGATGCCCCATGAATGACACTTAAAGTGACAGCCAGAAATAATAAGGAAGCTAGTAAGGAAACACAAGTAGAAATTCAAAAGAAAATGCTATATAAAAAAAAATACCTCTGTTTCGTAGAACAGTGGTCACTATATTTTTTCAGGTCTTCCAGTAGTGATTTCTTTCTTTTCATACATTATCCTTATCTTCTTACAGAACTCTTCGTGTGGTGGTTGGTACGAACCGTTGGAATTTCGGAGGCCAGGCGTACTCCATAGCTCGGAATATAACACACCCAAAGCACATTTACATTCGCGATCCACTCATAGTGGAATACGATATTGGTCTCCTGGTTACCAGGAACGAGGTTATTCTATCTGACCGGGTTCAGCTTGTGCCAGTCAGTCTTGACCGTGTCGGTGCTGGTGTGACGGGGAGGGTAGCTGGTTGGGGACGAATATACGTATGTTGACGTACTAAAAATGGGGGGGGGGGTTAATTTTTATTTTATAAGTTTAGCTAATACATTCCACTTTTTAAACCTGAAATAGGCACTACTTGAGTTAACTACTGACAATTCTTTATATTAATGAATAGAAGAAACAATGTGGCATGTGATATACTGAACAATTTTATTTCTTTGTTTTGTAGGGAGAAATAAGAGGAAATAATGATCTTCTTTAGTATTTTAAATATATGACGCTTTGGCAGAACGCTGTGGATTCTGCAAAAACTTTTCTCTATAATAATGAAAAAGCAAACCACTAATTTTCAGCATCAAGGACCGTTATCACCAAACCTTCAAGAGCTCTTTGTGACTACGCTAGAAGACGATCGATGCGACAGAGAGCTTCGTCAGGCATCCGTTGACTCCGGCATGGTATTGCCAGAATACGACCCAGAGACAGAGTTCTGTGTCTTCCACTCGAAGTACCATGGCGTTTGCAATGTAAGTTCTGGACTTAGAATACTAGTATTATTTCTTAATATCTTTGAAGACTTTACATTATATGGGTGTCAAGACGGTTTAAAATGAGTACAGGTCGCGGCACGGATGTTTAGCGCCGAACGCAATGTAGATCGGATAGTCGCGCATCGGTGATTGGAAAACGTGACTGTACTCCGGAGCGTCGTATTGGTCCGGGAAAGACAACACGACCGGGGAACAAATCAACGCTAGCGCACATGACGTTCGCTCGCCCCGCGCCAGGTTCCGTCGATACCTTATTTTTGACTTCTGCGCAGGGCTCGTTGAGCGCTAAAGATCCGTGCCGCTACTTATATCCAGATTCATTTTGTTCGTTGAATGTTAGTGCTTAAGTTTATAGACACAGACACATTTATGCGAATTGGTAAGACCAAGAGGAAACATACATAAATATGCATATATCGATGTAATAGGGAGACTCGGGCAGTGCCCTCGTAAGACCGGACACAGGGGAACAGTTCGGTATCGTATCGTGGGGTCTTCCATGCGCACGCGGCGCCCCCGACGTCTTTGTGAGAATCAGTGGCTTCAAGGACTGGCTGAAGGAGAACTTAGTTTTGTAATGTCGCTGTAGACTTAAGACCATTATAAATGTTAGTAAAAAAAATGTCATTTTATTTGTTTGAATGGAAAATTTCACTTTCACTGTAATTGCAATTTAAACAAATATATCAGTGTTACGTAAGAAAGCCTGCCCCGTCCAATAAAACTGTATCAGAAAGTAAAAAATAAAGATAAAGTTACATCATTTAATGACAAACAATTATTTAAAACACAGTATGTACAAAGCGTTGCTATAAACAGTTTATTATACAAAACGCTCAATAATTGTATGACTCAATACGAGATTCGATTGTAACATTTATTTTTTACAAGTGTGCACGGGAGCTTACTCAATGGCATAGATTAAAGTCCCACCTGCATCATCCATTACAAAATCTATAACTACCGTGATTACAATTTTTATTTAGATATTTTACTAGAAGTAAGATGGGAGTTAAATTCCCGGGTTCATATCAAAACTATTCGTCTTCGTATTTCCTACGAAGGTGGGAAAATCCAACCATCAAAAGCATAACAGTCACTGGCCAAGTAGAACTAGGCCAGCGGCCAACAGATCGGTGTCTCTTGTCCAGCCTCTTGCGCAGTCTAGCACCAATCGTGGACACAATCCACGCGACACCTCGACCGAGTGACGTAGCCCCCGGTCAATGACCGCAATCACCGCATCAAATCTAGTACCTAAAAAAAGAAACACACGAACCAGAACTTTATTGCCTATTTTTAACCCCGCTGCTTTTCGAAGATGTGGTGGTCTGCCGTTTCTTTGACGTTTTGCTGATGTCACAACGCTTGTTATTTATCGTCATGTTTGATCTTCGAAAGGAAAGTTCTAAAAGATAGATGGTCCAGTTTTTGACGAAGTTCAACATGTAATCCAATTATAAGTTGATTACAAGTCTTGGGTTATTAGCCAATCGTTACTGCTACAATTCGACCAACGAGCCAATCGAATTTTCATATGTCAAAATAGGTTGACATCGCATCTAGCTTATATGCTAAATGCTGCAGTATTAAATAAATAATCCGTTTGTTATCACAAAGTACATAATTTACAACTAAAATAAGTAATAAAAAAGAAACCTTACAATTAAAAAAAATACAAAAAAGTACAATTTTAACTTTGTGCAAAGGCCAAAACTCGGCATGTGCTCAGCAAGGATCGCTAAGCGCTGATTTCAGTCTGTCCCTATCAGACAACAAGTAGTACCAGAACATGTAAATATTGTGGAAAAATTGTAACGAACTTAAAAAATTACAATTATGACATATATTAGTGGCAGCGCGAATGCAAAACTATTGCGTAAGTAAAAGAAAACTAAGGAGAATAAAATATTCTCAATGTTAAGGTCAGTACTTTCGAGCTATTTGGAACATTAATTGTCGCGGTACTTTTTTTAGTACTTCCAACTTTCTGCACACTATTGCATACTATACCCAAAAGACAGCGTAACGAGAACACGGTCCTTACTATGCTTTATTCTTAAAGTCTTGAATGTATAATGTTCTGACTAAGCTAAATGAAACGCCATTAAAACAAGATAAATTATTAGAGATATATTCTTTGAAATAACCAGCCCATTGTTGTATTTTTATTACGTGCGAGGTTTCTCCACTATGTATGTCAACGTAATATGTATTTGTCTCACCTTACTCGCTGCGTCTCCGCTGAGTGCAGCCTTTTCGCACATAACCAGCCCCAATTCGGAAGTGTCGAACCCACTGTCCCTCAGGAGATTGCGGCGCAACTCGTGGTACATGAGGAACGATGCCAGGATACGCTTGACATCTTCTTGGCAACTATTTATAGTCCGGCTACTCGGCATACCTGGAAATAAGTGTCGAACTCATTTAGTTACAATTGTATTCCCTCTTTACCCAAGTACAGAGGTAATACAATATTGTCTTTGTAAGCCACCAAGGCTTACAAAGACTTACGAATATATTAAAAATTCATTATGAGGTTAGCACAAACTGACAGTTAAGCTCTGCAATAATAAAATAAACTACGGCAAAGTCTAAAACCATTTATTCGGTTTTGCTGTAGGATTTTTGACTGAGGATCTGACTCACTGCTGGAAATTTTAAAGACAATGCAGCGCAACGCGCGCAAAGTGCAACGAGTGTTAGAAATCAAGCATCCGGAACAATATATAAGATAAAACAACTAACGATGGAACAAATAAGATTTTGTAAAGAAATTGGATTTTTGAAGTAATGTATGGAGTTTATGCGAGTAGTGCACATTAAAAAAAAATTGCCGGCTCCCGTGACTATCCATGGCTGTTTCAAATCATCAATAGTTAAAGTAATTTAAATAAGTATAACTATATAACAAAAGGACAAAAAAATATATATTTTGCGTACCTTTAAATTATGTTACCTGAAAACGGAAGGTTTGAAGTGAACTCAGTGACAGTTGGATAACCCAATATCCTCCATAGGGAACACGAACGAACCAGGAAATGGGTGAAGTGGTTAGAAAATAATAGCCAATGTATACCTAGATACTTCCGAAGGAAGGGCAATATCTTGAGCTCCCACTTGTCGAAGAGCAGCGCGATCCGCTGCTTGACGGCGAGCGTGAACTCGTGCGAGACGAGCGGCTCGCTGTCGACGTCGTCCACCTTCATCTCGCTGCACCCGCGGCGGCTCAGCGCCTCCGTCTGCGACAGCAGCAGCTTCATCTGCCACATGTGGTACGACGACGGAGATGTGCGCATGGCCTTTATTATCTGTTGGGAGTGTGAGAAGATCATAAGCACTTGTTATATATGATATTCAATTAGCGTTATCTTAGTTATGATGTGAATATATATTGAAAGAAAGCCAACTAGATCTATGTGACAATTTATGTGCATTGAACTAAGTGCTTACAAATATTTAAAAAATAACACTTAAAGCTTAAGAAACATTTTGATCGTTAAAGAAAGCCTTTTTTTCAGACAGAGGAAGACACAAGAACGGGGATCAGTTGATGGTCGATGAAATACCCCAGAGATATATATATATATATTGTTGGAAATTATCAGAAAAGCTCAACTACCCGCCACACTGAAGGCTATATAAACAAGCCTCAAGCAACGGCTCGGACACTTCTTTCGTCGCTCGTTTTACGGAACGGACGTGCTGCCCGGTCGATAGGATTTTGTTGAATTTAAATTTATTTAGTTGTTGTGTTATTTTGTTTTTATTTTAGTAAATCTGCTTCTGATTCCTAAAAATATATTCATGAAAATAAAACGCCATTTAACGACGCCATTTCGATATTCCTGTCAACAATTTAATGTCCAGCTTTCAAGATTTAGTCCAACATGTTTGTGAAAAAAATATAAAATTATCAGAGTTCTGGCTTCATAAACTACTATTCTCTATGCCTTTTCCTCTCACTCTATGGTTTATCTATCCCTCCTCCGCGTTTACGGTTGTACAAGCCTAAGCGGCGACGCGGATGGACGCACGAGTTCTAATAAGAGCAGCAGCCATCGATGTGGCTGTAAAACGATTCGGTGTACGGAAGGGTCGACCCTGTAGTGTTTCTTAAAGGACACCATCAAATCAAAAGAAGGATCCCCGGCCGTGCGACAGGCATCGTAAACGTAACTCCATTTCATTCTATACCTATTCTCAGTTTATGTGGGCCAGAATACTCCCACCGCCTTTTAAGGGATCATAGGAATATAAAATAATACAGTCCTCCCTGGAAGTCTTGGCATATTACAAGTCCTTCCAATGAGAAACATTTGGGGATCAACCCCAGGACCCGTTGATTATTACTAAAATAGCCATTAACTGCTACCATTATACCAACGAGCATGACATAAAGCGAGAAATACCGTTAAGAACGTTGTCCAAATCGGCAGAGCCCGCAACACATCATTGACGACGCACTCGTAAGTCACCACGCTGAGATTCTGTAGCAACTCTTGCTCCTCCTTCGTGTATTTCCTACAGACGCAGCCTTTGTTTATCAACCCAGAGGTCTTCACACTCGATCTTTTCTTCTTGAACACGAGACAATCCGCGCAAATGTTGGCGCCGATTGGCTCATCTCGGTTATCCTTAGCCAGGTAGTGCTTGATGAAGTTCTGTACTCGCGCGTCGTTCGTGAAAAGTTCTATGTTATCCGGCTTCGCCGACCAAATGTTGGATTTGTCGAGCGTTAAGGTTTGACCCAGCATGGTCAAGAAGCCTTGAGGGTCGTTCGCGTAAGAGAGGCACCCGGCTCGCTGTTTAATGTCAATGCACCATGTGTATTCCAGAAACGTCCTGAAATTAGAAATAATCATGATTTATTTATTTACTCAGCCTCAACCACGTACTCCAATAGCCTTATTTAACAATTAATTAAATAAAATGTCTTTAATAAACGGGACTTATGCATTGCTTACATAGAAATATGACGGCTAAATTATTCCAAATAAGAAACATTAAGATGAGAAAATGTACTAACATGCTATTTGCTTAATATTTTTTTTTTAATTTATATAGATATAATATTTAAAGTCCTTCATTTCTTGAGAAATTAGTGCCAGAATAACCAGCCAGCCTCTATATTGATTTAAAATTTACTTACTTGAGTTGGTCCCAATTGCGGTCCCGGTGAAAGGACATGGGCCAATATCTCGGGTCGTTGATTTTGACCTCCTTCAGTGCATCCAGTTCTGGTATAAGACATGGTGCTTTTAGTTCTTTCGCCAAACCATTTAAGTCAACCACCTGCAAGTGTAATTATGCGCGATGATTTTTTATTTGTATTAGGGTTTGACAGTTTTCTTTGCGTGTCAGTAGTTTACGCGAGTAGTACACATTTAAATTAACATTAGTTAACTCATTTTAATTCTATATTTACGACGACCTGTGTCGGGTGTTGTTTATTTAAAACTTACTGGAATCAGTGAAAATATATTTTTTTTATATTAATTCTATGTCACTGCTTAACTTAAAAATATATCTTTCTCGATACCTGTATATGCGCATAACACAGCTTTCCCGTGTCAATATCGCGAGGCAGAACCAGTCTATATTCGACGGCGAGAACGTACAAGTGTCTGAACGCTTGCAAATGGTACCTGGAACGCAATTTTGATTGGAAATTTAAAAACGAGCAGGGCTGAATGAAGTGTTTTGTTATGGCCCGACATTTATTAATGCGGTGAACTTCGGAATATCTTGAAAGTCAATTAACGTGGCCATCAACGGAACTAAATTTTTCACAAAGATGAAACTTCGTTTCTTTATTTGTTTGGTAATCTTTTTAAATTGAGTTACTACGATAATCAACCATACTTCAGTAGGAGAATGTGTATTCGAACGGACCCAATTTTGCTCATATATTTTAGAATTTGTGAAATTACCTATTGTCTTCAGTGTGCGTGGGGAATTTGGGGAAAAATGCTGTAAGTAGGGCGGCTACAGCATCTGGAGTGCTTCCGAGGGTAGCACGACCTCCTCCAAGGAAAAGGAGGCCCAGGGCACAATGTACTGCCATCTGATAAACATTTTACAAACAAAAATTAATGTATGACTAAAAGTTATATTATCTTATGCGTAACTTAAATTTATTGGAGTACTCTTACTTAGTGTTGACTTGACGTTGTTATGGAATAAACTATTAAACAGTATTGAATTTTAGACATATTAGGTCATATTAAATATTTTTATGGGCTGTTTTTCACATTCTCTATAAGAATTAAATTTAAGTGTATTTTTAGGAATAGTATTTTATTCGCGTTTATAATAAATTTCATTCAATATTGTACGTTATTACCGTATTTCGTAAAATTCACTAGCAATTAACCTAAATGGTACCTGAGCGCCGTGAGTAAGCGGCGGATGCGCTGCGTGCGTCGGCGTCGAATTAGAACGTGAGGCGGCGGTGCGCGCGCGCAGTCGTCGACAAAGGCGCATCACTGCTATGTCGCCACGCCCCGCCATAATCTATAAAAGGGCAAAAGAGCATAATTTCCAATAACAAGCGTATTAAACAAGCGATTTAAACAATCAGAAATTTCAGAAAGGATTATTCGAGATTATATTTTCCTAATCGGCATAATTTCTCCATATTTCACGTACGATCTATTTTATAACGTTTAGAATTTTTAGCGATATAAAGTCCACATAACATGCGCTATCAACCAAAGCGATTAAACCAAAACGTGCTTAGACTTTTCCATATGTACTACCCTACTAATCGCGACCAGAAGTAAAAAAACTGTATTTGATATTTGTAAAAACAAATGAATTACTTCTTACTGGCTAATACCATGTGAGGTTAAAAATAATTACTAACACAACCAGCAGCCAAAAGACAAACGCAGCAACAAGTCTCGAGCGTGGAGGCCCCGGTGTGTTCTGGGGCCCGGCTCCAAGCTGATGCAAGCCTAGACGCGAAGTAGAGGGTCGTATCCCGGGCTTCTTCATCTCCCGAGCCGGCGAAACGGAGGCCGAGCGCAAAACATGCACCCGCTATTATGTTGCAATACGCCTGGCTGAAATCATAAAAGCAGTAAGTAGAATGGTTTTAAAAAAGAATGTCTGAATTTGTAAAGTGAGCAAAAATATATTTATTTTGTTTACAGAATGGCGGCGGTCAAAACGATAAAAAATATACTAACTTCATGGCTTCATAATCTATATTCTCCTCAGTGGGTTTGACAAAGCAGTAGGGCTTAATAGTGGCAGGCACCTGGTTTTCTACCCATTCCTCCGTTGGTTCTATACTATCCCAAAGCACTAGTCCTGTAAAAGCAAATTATACGTTTTTAGAGTTTCATGAGAAAGACTGGCATTTATCCTTATTCCCGCCAGATGGGTCTCCTTAGAACAAGCACATTAATTCAATTCATAAAAATCCCCACATTGAAATTCTCACGATAAGTGGAGGGAGACAGAGAGTAAAAACCGCAAACTTCCCAACTTTAAGTCGCAAGTTATTCTGACCTCTAGCTATAATCCTAAGCATAAGCAAATCTGGTCTGACGAAGTCCAGCATGTAGGCGGTGGTGGGTGGTTGCAGCCATTCGGCAACAGCTGGGTTGTTGGTCTTCATGTATATGAGGCCCAGAGCAAGAGTCGCTCCCGGTGCCGTTACGTCTAAGTTAACTGTGCTACCTTCACGAACCGCAAATGACCCTTGCTTGTACTTGTCTTTTTGTGAACCTGTAATTGTCATTTTACTCATCTTTACATGTAAGTATCTTAATAAGATGCAAAGAATAATAATAGTAAGAGAAATATTGCCTGATATCAACTTTAATCAACGCAAAGATACTATCAATTAGTTTCAAGTATGCAAACCATTGAAACCTCTCCTGTCCCCACCGAGCATATAGGTGCGCAAAGCGGGAGCCATATTAGCCACATGAGGCTGGTCGCCAGCTCGGAGGCATACACAGCCCAAGGCTAAGCCGGCAGCCAACGCGTAGCCTTCGCGCTCCACGCAATTCTCCATCTCCGGACCTGGAGGTTTCCCTGAAAATTTTGGAATTAAACAATTAAAATAAATCTACTGAACTCTTCAGTATTTAATAATTTAGTTTTTTTATGCAACCACAATGCTATAATCGTAATAAAAAGTTAATGTTGTAACACACTATATTTTAACCCTTACCAATTTCCCTAAGCAAAACTTGAGCGTAATGCGCGTGCGCAGATCTCTGGTAGAGCAGTCCAACTCCAAGAAGCGCCGCTACCAGAACGCCATGGTGGATATCCATCTCTACGCTACTTGGCGGCAGAAGTGCTTCCAAATGAATACTTACCATTTTCGTGGCAAGAACATCCATTGTACCTAAAATATGCCGTTACGTTACACCATGTACATAGGTTATTTAACAACCTGTATTAGAGAAAGTCGAATACCAAACATTTTATAACTTAATGCAGGGATGTTACGAAGCTTCGCCTCCGGTTCCGTTAAATCGGAACTGAACGGAGTCGATTATTATTACACCTTCGGTTCCGACTCTTTTAAATCGAAGGTTATAATCGAATTCGGTCGAAGCGTAACATCGCGGCGGCGTGACCTGTCCGCCCTGTGTCGACTGTTATGAACAGGTGAATTCTCGCGCGGAGAATTCTCCCGACTTCCACTACGAGCACTTTTTACGTAAAAAAATGACATATTAATGTTTTATTTGTTCTTAATTAAAAATGATCTCTCATGCCCTGCCTCCAACTCCGAATCCGGTTCCGACGCCGGTTTAGCAAATTGAAAAACTCCGACTCTTGCTTTCCTTTACATCCCTGCTTAATAGTTCTTAGTGAAAATAATACATGAATTACAATCTTGACTATTGAAGTTAAGCGTGGGTACAATGATAAGGTTAGTGCCATTTCATAATAATAATATTTTGAACCTCTAAAAGTAGCGGTAAGCCCCAGCAGCAGACCAATGCTGATCATCTGATGACTCTTGATGAAGTAATCGAATAGGATCATATACGGCATATCCTTGAGGTGGCCGTTCAAACCCAACGCCAGTAGGAAACCCGCGTGTTCGGTCGACATATCCTGGGTTCCCTGAAAGATTTACTGCTTTTATTAAAGTACTACTCTACTACAACAATGTTAAAATAATAATTTTAAATTGTCAATTTAGAGTGTTTTATTTAAATGTGTACTACTCGCGTATACTATAGACAGTATTGCATTGACATTGACAAGTGTACGTAGTTACCAATTTGAATCCATGCGATATTTAAGTTTGATACTGTAACCAATATTTGAAGGCATTATTTTTATATTCGAATGCCAATGCACAATATAAGTTATACCGTGTTAAATGTCCGCGTGTTGGACAGACTACCAGTAAGTGTTATAATAGTTTCTGCGAGTTCACTGCATTAGTAAAAAGAAGGTACTTGCTTTTCTAAGATATATCATGTCACTATCGGTGACATAAGTCTATATCCGACTCCTTACCTTTTTTGGGTTGGTTTTTGTTATAAATGTATTAGTTTTTTATGGACGCTCATTATTCGCAATTACAATATAGACTGACACTTGAATAACACGCGAAGTATATTAGTTATACTTATTTACAAATTATTTTAAACACGACCCGACTTTTCAGATGCTTTGCAGCAGTCACGGGAAGAAATATTTGTAAATAACCTTAATATATTTCGCTTTTTAGCCCGTTTAAGTGTCTTATTTTCGTGTACTACTCGCGTTAACTACAGACAGTCTTTAGTGTATCTGAGGCAGGAGATAACCACTAGACTTTATTGGATTTAGAGTATTGAAGTGTGTATTGACTTTTGCCATTTTCTTTGTGATACAATATGAAATAGTAAAAAGAATATTGTTTAACACTAAAACCGTACCCGTGGCCTATTGTACACGATCCAGTTGGAGTCTATACTGGACCCCGTCATAGGCACGACGGCCAAGCCAGCCGCTACGCCGTTGTGGAAGGTCGGCCACAGCAGGCACTGCGGAGATGTGTCGCTGGCGTTTAAGTTGATCGTGTTGCAGCGGGGCGGGGGCCCACGACCGGATACACACAGTTTTGGAAGAGTCAAGGAGTCTGTTGGCGGACAAGCCAAGGTCCGGAGCGTCACCATACCTCTGAAATAAAAATGGATTAGGTAGAAAAACTAAATTAATCATAAAATCTTTTGTACCTCTGTGTATACTTAGTTTTGTGTTGCTGATTATTGATTCTGCCAATTTTATGACATCGAGTGTTTATAATTTACTTGTTTGATAAAACACTTTCTTCTTTATATAGTAAGCAAATATTTATCACTTCCAACCTTCCAACCGGCAACGCCATAGTCCTAGTGCCAAGGGCGTAGAGGTACTTTTCCTGCTCTTCAATGAAGTCGTGGTCTGACACCTCCGGACGCTGCGTCAAGTTAACAGTGACAGGTCGAGAGGACTGGAGAAGGCTGTACACCTCCGACATTCTGGAAAAGACGGTTTGCAAAAAGGTATTACTAGAAAAGTATGCAGTCATATAAATATTATAAATGTGATAAATAATTATTATCTCATAGTTAACCTGATGTTAATAAAGCTTTGTCAAATCAATTATTGCTTTCTCTTTTGAAATTATTACGTTTGTTGTTTAGTTACATTTGGGTCAGCCCTGTTAGTATTATCATTTATTGCATTCGTGTTTGCAATTCTTAAGATTGTCCCCTTATTATATATTATTTAAGCCATATCTGTAACAATTATAGCCTAATTCTGTAGATCTTTTGAATAAAAGAAAAAAGATGACCTGCAAATCCACTTCTATTTGCTAAACGTTTAAAAATTTCCATAGACAGGTATTTGTCTATAAAGATATGGTTTGAAGCATTGTGGTTCTAAATAACCTTTTTAGAATTTAAACACTATGGTTAAAATCCTTGCTTTTTGTATTACCTCTGGTCTTTAGGGTATAACAAAGTGAGCAACTTTGTGCCCATATGCTCCAAGCCAGTTATTTCTTCATCAGCCTTATGGCTCACTTCCTCCAAATTGTTGTCATTTTGGGTGAAGGCAGTTTCTTTTTCCAAAACCTCGAGTGCCAGGGCTGGAAAAAAAAACAAAATAATAGTTTCAATAGTATACAAACTTTTATCAATAAAGGTGTATTTCACAAAATATATCGTGTTTTAATCAGTTGCAATGTTTAATCTGATTGGATTTCTGAAACTCACTTTCGAGATACTCATCTGTGGATTTGATCTTGTGCTGTATGCCGGCCTGCAAAGCCAGGTCTTCCCTCATGACTAGACTGTAGGCTGCCAGTGGCCAGTCCACCGGTGGGTCCAGCTTGCACCGGCTGAATATCGTGATTATCATTAGTGCAATGGCCGGTGGAAAGTTGTCGATGTCTCTTAGGGTTAGACCTGGGGGATAAAAAATGGAATTATTACGTTGGGATATTATAATTTTACATTATAAAGTATCAAACAAAACATTAATTTACTGGTAGATGTTTTATATTTAAATAAAAAAATTAACGGTTTAAATCGCGAAATGTATTATTTTTAATTCGACTCGACGTTTCGGATGCTTTGCGGCAACCGTAATAACTGGTTACAAACCTAACGTCAAGTCAAGAGGACACTGTGGATCAGTTCTATAATAACTCAAACAGTTTTTCCAAAAAAGTATTACAACGATAGTGATGTTAATTTGATCATCGATATTTGTTTTTTATATAAAAACAAATATCGATGATCACAAGTATTTCGCCTCTTTTCCGCATTGTACGACTGTTTAGTAGATGAGACGTAGAGTACGACTGTTTAGAGAAATGCAACAAAAAATATTTTATGAAATATATGGCGTACGTACCTCTTTCGCAGGCTAGTAGAACTGCGGCCGCATGAGGTACAGATGGCGCGGTGGACGTGGCAACTCGCGGAGTACTGCTCGCCATCGCACCACCTTCTCCACCGGCCACGTTGAGTATTCGCACACCGGACCCTCTTCCACAGCCAGCCGCTGACATGATCTGGAAAAGTTTGCTTCTTATTATCTTGCTTCTCGCCGATATCGGTAAGTAATCGTGAAATTTGATTTTTTGAAGTTCAAAACGAGTACGGCTTGCATTTAAAAGTGGGACATCAATTTTGTAACCTAATGAGGTAAACTTAGCATAAAAACTTATTATGAACTAACCTCTATAATATTCTTACTCATGTCATTGACTTGAGAGATGTATGGGTAGCAGCCTTCGTCCACATCCTTCAGCACCGAGTTTAAGTAGGCATAGATGTTAGGGGGCTCCGCGCTGAAGTAGCTCGGCTGGACCAATCTCTTCAGCACCTCCTCCCCTATCTGTGATTCGCACTCCGCCACAAAACTGTAATCCGTAGGGAAGTCCAGCCAATAGTGATCCACGTACTTATCCAAGCATATATCCTTCGATATCTGGTAGAGCAATTTCGCAAGACGCTTCAGGTCGTTCTCTAGAAGCGTATTGAGCTTCATGTCCTCGTACAGAAGATGGAACGTGTAGAACAGGTGCACCATGTAGGGGAAAAGTAGGGCGTTCGAGTTAAATTGGATTGGCTTCTCTTCTTCCGCGCGTTTGTGCTTAGAGTCTACCTCCAGAGATGGAAGGTTAAGCAGATTTGTGAGGCTATGATTGATGCCCTCATGGAACTTTGAATGGATCATGTGCTCCCAGTCATCTTGGGAGCCATCGTTGGAGGTCCTCTGCTTCTTTGGTAGGACTTCGGTCTCTTCATCGGAGTGCTTCTGGCCTAGTTTGTCCACATCATATCCTATGAGGGAAAGCATTAATTCGGAAAACATCTCCCATTCCTGGTCCGGTGTTAGATCTTGGGTACCGGGAGCGTTGCGGACTCCGTACCACTTTATGAGGACCTGGAAATATGGAATATAGATTAAAATGAAGCGAAATATTTAATTTAATAACACTTAGAATAATTATAAAATATTCTTCACGGTTTAAAATACGCACTAAAGATTTTAAGAATGATAAATCATAACTTAAAATGGAATAGAATTTTTAAATTGCTTTTTCAACAACATTTAGGTTCAGAATGGTATGTCGTATATTATAATAACAATTATATACATTTTCAGACAGTAAATAAAATTTACTATCTTTCCGTGAGCAATATCCAGAGTCCATATTGAGTCAAGAATCAGTCAATCAATGACGAGTAGCTTTTACAAACGTCGCAAAGTAACAGCGAAAGAGCGCAAATAGAAATACTCGACACAATAAGTACAACAATTTTTATCGTAATCCAAACCTTTAACTAGTTCTGTCTAATTTTATTCGCTTGTATTAATGGTAACGAACGTGTTGTGTCAGCTTAAACCCTCATACTTATTAAAATCGAAATATGATTATTTAACGTTAATTACATAATCGTAAGGAGCGACCATCGAATAACACATTGAAGTCGATTAAAAAGGTTTTAATTTACATGGAGAAATTTCCAAAACTACCCTCGATATGACCCAACTTTAAAGTAAATGTTAGAAGCCTTAAATGCTCGATCTTTGTACGGAATAATGATTAGGTGGTGAAAGTAAATTTAGGCCAAGCTTTTATGCACTTATCAATTTCGGCTCAATATACGTATACATATGTATACGTATGTTGAGAAACGTGGCAAACCGATAATACTTAGTGCAGAATACCTGCATCGTGAGATCCTTGGGTAAGGCAGCAGCTAGAGCATCACAACTTCGGCTCAGAAGTGGCGAACAAACCACCGGTGGCAAAGCGATTCGATACAATTGTCCTGACTCGAAACTGACACTGAGACGATCCCCTGCAGCATCACAGAGACCGCGAATACCTGGAATGTTACAAATGATAAGAAATGCTACATCTAATGTTGCAATTATTTTAAACACAAAGCAAATAACATAGATAATTTACCCAAACTCTCCTTCCGTTCCAACCGAGAAACAGAAGAGTGAGGTACCGGAGATAGGAGATGTAAAGCGGAGTCGTCAAAGGTGGTGTTGTCGCAGCGAGTCGGCAAAAGGCTGCTGCGCCGAGGAAATGGCGATTGAAAGGTCGAACGCTTCGTGTAAGGGGAGTCGATTAGGCGAGCCAGAACACCACCTACGTGAATCTGAAAAAAAAAAACAAGATAAACAAATGATTAATAAGCCGAATGAGTATCAAAGAAAGCACAAGTTACCTACCTTGCCAACAAAATTGTTCCCCGACTGTAAAATTATATTCCCTGTTTCGTCTATAAGCGCCATCATCTTCAAATGATCTAGAACAACTGCGTCCTTGGCCAAGACAGATGACACCCAGCCAACTATTATGTTCATTTTATTTTGTCCATGAGTATGTGATTTCTTCAGCCGCATGATTTGCAACTTGCTCACCCCTTCAACTTTCACCATATAGCATAAGTACTCGTGACCAACTAGATCAGTATGTAAGAAGGCTTTAGTATCACTGGGTCGTTCGATTTTATCCCGTCTTAAAACTTGGCTATCTGTAAATATGTGGTCTATACATATATCCGGGTATAGCGGTAATGAAGGAGGAGCAGGGATTGAATTTGCCATCGTCGATACACTGGAATGACCAAAAGAAGAATGAGGTGTCAAGCCCTGCTGTTGGAATATACTTGCGATTGTACTATTCTGTCTAGACATTTTTGGAGTTTTCGGTTGCTTCTTTGAATGTAAAGGACTTCCCAACCAACTACTCTTCCCGATGCTATGAGATGGACTGCGACCAAAGTCACACGACTGGTTGTATGTGACATTCATATTTGAGCACACAGATAAGCATTCATCGCGAAATGCCTTCCTTATCTTCCATAGAGAATGAGTACCTAACTTCCAATCGTAAAGCAGGATTATACTAGGATCAGATGAAACAAAGATTATTTGTAAGTCTCCATCATTGTAATATTGAAGGCCCTGAGATGGTGACTTCATTAAGATCGGATTGACATCATCTAATGGGTGGCTAATAGAAAAGCAAGTTGGTAGTGGACAGTCTTGATCATATCCCGATATCGACTCTGCTCTTAATTTTGCACTCAAGTGGTGGGAGGATGCCTTCGATCTTGAAAACGTGCTATTTTGGGTTTCATTGTGCTTCAAGAACGACACTGGTAATAGGGAACTGTGCAGAATCGGTGTTGGGTCCTTTTCAAAGAGCACTCCAAACTTCATTGGCCAGACTTTTTTAACTTGAAATGGGAGACTAGTGATGTACTCCCTTCCATCTGCAGCATACACTCGCATACATTTACTGTCTATTAAAAGTATTGAAGGCATTATCTCTGATTTAACATGTTCTGTGTTATCCTCGATTTTGATGTTCTTCTTAGTATCTTCAATTTGCGAGTTTAAAGCATCAATGAGCATAGTGTTCTTCAGGTCTACATGAAAGTCAACAAAGGCAGCATTCTTTATTGGATTGTCTATAGTGTAACAGGCAATTGTTTCGCGTTGCTCTGGAGCCGATACTTTTGAGCCAGGCGATGATACTAGACCTGAAATGATTTTTTATAAAGAACATTAATAATCTGATTGTCAGAATACTGTTTGGCAATTTACAACACAATAACTGTAAAAGGACAATATGCAGCATGTTACAATTCGAGACTGGAGCAATTTAGCACCACATGGTATGGACAGAATTTACATGAAGTTATTATTAGTTAGATATTTACTTATATATCACTGGTTTATAAGTATATCAATGACGATAATATAAAAAGAAAGATAGACAAACTTATTTCGTTGGTCAATTAGTGTAGATTTTATAAAATTTATTATGTTACCTTTAGACCAAACTGCAGTACACCCTTTAACATACAACTCCTCTTCATAATGGCAGTCTGTTTTTGGATTCAACCCTTTTTTATGTTTGTTTTGTGTGCAATTCAGGTTAAACTTCTTACACATATTGCTAGAACTGTTTGCACTACCACTTTTAGAAGTTGAAAAATCATCTTTTTTTCAATCCACTCATAAATTCGGACTTTATAGAGATGTTAAAATCGTTTTTGAGACGACTGGGAGGTCGGAATGATTCATTTTGGGACTTAGTCTCTTTAGGACTCTCGGTTTCTGAATCATCAATTTCTGAAAAAGAAGTTTTTATTTTATCTTATATATTTTATTGAAAATAATCAGGCTACCATTTATTACACTATATAATTCTTAATCATTAGTTGTATATAGTCTCCTTAAAGATCCTATGAATCTAATGGGACTTACATTTCGTTTTATTTGTGGATGTTCTGCCATAAGAGCCACTAGCTAAATATCCTCTGTTTTGTCATTCAATTTGAATGGGTAATAATGAATTAAAAACAACAAAATTTCCTAGTTCTTGCGAGTGAAGTGTGGACATTTTTTTTTAGAATTGTTTAAAGAAGAATTATTTTTTCATAGAAAATTTTATTATCTTGAACCGTTTGGAAGTGCATGCAAGAGAAGCCCAAATAGTAAATAATTTTGCTTGTATTTACATTTTCCCCTTTTTTATTTTGTACTCACAAAAAACCAATATTCAATATTAAAAACATTCATAAGTCTTTTTTAGACAGTTACTTAAATTGTATACGCATGTCTAGAATATACTTTTAAATAAAACACTTTAACGGTTTAAAACGCGATATATATTAAACTTACCATAAAAAAGCTGTGACAGTGTTCTCCCCATGAACACAGCTGCTGCAAAGCTTCAGAAACGGCAGAAGTTAAATATAATTTAATATAATTTTCAACTAAGTTTAACTGATATATATCATGTTTTAAACTGTTAAAGTGTTTTATTTATATTATAGATTTAGAATATACTGTTTATGTTTAGAGAAGCCTTATTGCAATTTTATTATTTATATTTTATAGTCTAAAAATGTTAATCTACAAGAGCACAGTGAACAAAAATTGTTAACGTAATTTTTACTTTAACAATTTTCTACTTAATGTACTTCCTCCTCATTGAAAATAATGTTTTTTGTTATTAGGCCACTCTGCCCCTAGCAAGCTCATATTAAGCCTTAAGCGTTTCACAATAAATGGTTGATCAAACACAAAAATATTTTTTCTGTATGAGATTAGTGTGTTTAAATAAATAAAAAAAACTAATTCAAGTATATAATATTAGTGTAGATCTAAATGTAGTACCTCTTGACTTATAATAGACTTCTCTAGTAGTCCACCACTCCTTTTCTTCTTCTTTTGTTTCTATTACACTGTCATCCTTTATACCAAAGTTGGTTAGCTTATAAAGAAGGGAGTTTTCTGAAGCCGATTTGTTGCGGCCATTGTTGTAAATTTTGCCAGGGTGGTTGGCTAGTACTGTACGTCCGTGCGGCACAAACTCCTAAAACAATCCCAATCAACATTATATTTTTATAGCACTATTATATAAGTGTACAATTATCACAAAACACCACAAATAACATGAACTTTTCAGAGTAAAAGAGTTGTTACTTAATATACGTAGTTATCTTTAATATGTCTGCATGAAGTTGTTCGCAATTGATTATTAATAATTTACTGAAACTCTAAAATTCTTTGAAATCTCTTTAAAGACTTATATTAAGAGAACGGAGTGGTATAGATAAAAATGCTACATCAGTTCTGCATTTAACATAAAATATATATTAAAATTGAGGTAATTATTAAATAAAAAAAAACTATATATTCACCAAAGGTTCAGATGCCGCAATCATGTTATCTTCATCCAGATTTGTAAGTAAGTAATTAAAACACTTGATGAATCATAAAATGTAAGTGAATTTCTAAGAAATACACTTACTTTACATTTCAAATATTAAAAAGTCGCATTAACTGCTTATTTGTGATTACCGGCGCGTTTAATATTTTTCGTAGATTATCAACATTCAAAAACGTTACAATCAACAAATAAAATAGGGGACAATTGTCAGTGTCAGACACAGAGTATATCTTGCCATTACTCAAAACCACAGAATGATCTTACTCCTTACTATATTGAGAAAATAATGCCATTAGATACTTAATAAAAAGTAAAATAAGAAAACAAAAGTTTTGTTTAAATTTTCAAATGAGTGCCGGTACTGGTAAATGCCTTTGCGCGTATGTGTGTATTTGTGATTATGATATTATTTCAGTTACTTCCATGAAGTCTATAGGATCCTTTTGTGGATGCTAGGCGGCCAAACCATATTATTTTGTTTGCAGAGACTATCTATTTCTGGTCTTTTACCACGAGTCGTTAGAAAAAAGTTTTAATCGTAAAATAAATGTAATGTTAGCAAGTTCATATATTTACGGAAATATTTCGTGTTAGAAAATAATGTAGGTAGATGCTTTTAGAACAAACGACAGTGTTGATCAATACAATATACATAATAAAGATAAAATGACTGTATCAGGAAGCTTTAAAATAATTCGATTCAATTCGTTTTGAAATCTGGATACCTATTCAATTGGAGGTAGGAATACCGAAGTTTCGTCTGGGTCATGAACCACTGCATATCCGAATATCCAAAGGCAAAATAGATCGACAGTGCAGCTTATTTTGATTTTATTATAAACATATCTGGGGTATTTCACCTTCCCTCAAGCTTGTCTGACCTTCTAAGATAAAAAGGCAAACAATATTTTAACGAAATCCTTCTGTAAAGTGCAAGTATATGTATACAATAGATAAGTTAAATCGTATGTAAAACAAAACCTCTTCGAAAAGAGTTACGAGATATTTTAACGTATATAAATATGTACACGATAAAATAATAAAAATTCTTGGGGTATGAACCCGCTTTAACAAAAAAAAAAATAAGACACTTAAAGTAAATGTAAATTAGGCCTTTAATTTTTAAACTGATATGAACTCTCATAAGTACCTAACTATGTACTTAGTTCCCTATGTGAATAAATAAATCTTTGACTCAAAAGCGATTATTTTTGCCATATACATAATCAACAATTTTAGAGTTAAAGAAACAACATTTATAATCATCAATAAACTTTATTACTATAGTAAAAGTATTTAATTAACCGCACTTACATGTAACAAAACATTCAACAAAATACTTTGGGAGCCAACATAACACTTTGGGTGCTGACTTATTATGCCCTAAACAAAGACCAGTGTTTCTCAAACTACCTTACCCGAACCTTAATAATTCCGTTACATATACATGAGTAACACGCAAATTTGTGCTGAACTAAGGATAACTGTAACAAAAACTAATAACAGGGTCACAGCACGAAACAATTTGCGGTCTTAAAATTAAGATAAAAAATATATGACGTGACTAATAGTATCGATCACCAATTCCTACATATTTAGGAATCCTCTTACAGAGGAAATATAGTAATGGGTCGTGATGATGTATCGTTGTCGAGTTGTCAACTTGGCACATAATTTATCCGCATTACTGACATAATATATGATACAATGACAATTTCGATTGGACAATAAATGCGCTATTGAATATCGTGAAAAGTAATAGATAATAACAGAAACACAAAAAGCACGACACATCAACGACTCGGATTGCTATAAATCCCCTTTATATAGTTGAATCTCTTATCAACATAACGCAGATCTGACAGCACCATATTTTAATAACTCTTTAAAAATATACATATTTAAGCTCACCATGTTACAGTAAATGTATAAAATGTAAAGGATATAAATGATAAATATTCTACGCCTTAACCTTCCTCGACATGGCCCCATCGTTATCTTAGCAACTAGCATTCATTCGAAATAAGGCTTCTCTCCTTAAGGCGAAATAAATAATAAAATTGAAAAATATGAACTCGCAGGTACACTAAAACACTATTATGATTTCAATATTATGTAAGCCCGAGTAATTTTCATAAAAAAACCTCTTCAAGGAACCGTAAAAGCTCGCTCATTTACAAGAGTAACAACATCAATAAATATCAATCAAGAAAAACATGATTATAGAAGTATCAGTTAAAACGATTTTAAATAACAAAGATAAATTTTGACATCTTGGAATGCCGAAACGCTTTAGCGACTAAAATATAAAATATTAGCGTACACTATACATACATATAATATCCGACTTATATAATAATATATACCATAGTAAAACTATGTCCTAGCTTCTATACTATACTAATTATACTTTTGGTCTTTGGATGAGCATGTCACATTATGGCTTGTGTCATCGTTTGTAACTTTAAATAATATAAGTGCACTTTAGAATTTAGTACTCGATAATTACTCTTTTAAACACTAAGCTAGACTAGATCTGCAACGAAAGCTACGCACCATTGGATCAGATAAAAATGGTATAGAGCGAGGACAATTCATAAGCAAACATTTGAGAAACACTGTTCATCAATGAAACTATATCATGATAATATTATCTCAGCTCAATCGACGAAACAGAGTAAAACTGAAATGATGCGATGCTTAAATAAGGCGAGAATTTTTTCGTAAATCAGGTACCTAAATGGGACATTAGAAAGAAGTATGCATTAGGTGTATGCTTAGTTGATACTATAACGAGTGTCGAAAACAGATAAACAAAAACTTTTATGACTAAAACTAAATAAAAAATTATCACAAGTTATATACGTTACGAGTTTTACTCGCGATCATTGTTTCAACTCCGGTATTAGCAAACGTCTTTTGCATTTAGACGTAGACCACATTTCGGTTTGCCTCGACCATAGACTAATTAGAAGAATGATTGGTAGGTGTAACAACAAACGTACAGACTTTGAAAGGCATTAAAGTCATTTACAAAAAATTTCTGTATTTATTCCTATACAGCGATTTTTATAAAAAAAAATATTGCACTCAGAATATTCTCCGAGTAATACTCTCGCTTTGAACTACTGTTCAGTAGTATACGATCCGGATTGGGATCACGATTTCACTCTTCTCTTGCTCAATTTCATACGATCAGGACTAACCAAATATTTTATCATTATGCAACGACGCCTCATTCATTTACCGACGTCATGCTTATTTAACATAAAGTGTACGTTGAATTGCACTTTATAAATTCACTGTAAAAATGCAATGCAGTCTATACACGTGTTCCATCTAAGACATTAAGGCGATGCGTTAATCTGATTTTGCTCTCCGCGCACAAAATTTCAACACCGATGTAGAAGCGATCGTGTGGAACTCGTCCCAGAACTACCCTACAATTATGCTTTTGTTTTTTGTAATAGTGATATGTTGAAAATGTTATAAGAAAATAATTGCTATTCAGACATTGAGATTTCGCGCTCGGTCGCCGCTTACGCATATTTGAGGTACGATCGTTAACGATGACTCGTTTTGGCATTTTATTGTGATGTATGGCCGGAATACAGTTTGCTCATTAATTAATTGGCGAACGCATTCTGTAGACCGCGTTTTATGCCCCGTCTCTGCGACATCTGACCGCCTTAAGACCTACGAAGCGTCTAATCTAAGTATACATATAGTTCTTCTATGATAGTATAAATAGTCTATCTCTATTTTATAAAAACGACGTTAAAAGTGTACATTTATCCTTTATGCGTAATGTAAAAGTAGAACTATATATAAATATTTTCTGATTATAAGTAAATAATTTTTGGAATATCTCTTTAAGGCTAGTCCGGTATTTTATACCTCGGAAGGGTCTTCGCTCACTTCGGCGAGTCCGTTCGACTCGATCTTCGATGTGTTGGCTGCGACTTCGGCCAGAGTCGCCAGCGCGAATAGGTCGACGTCGCCGTGGGGCACGCCGCAGACGGTGCTCGGCGCCTCTGTGGCTATCTTGATCTCGGGGCTTATCTTGTGCCCGCCGTTCCTGTCGCCGGACACAAGGCTGTTGATCTCGAGTCGCGTGATGCTGATCTTCCTCGGCTTCCGCTTCTGGCTCCCGATCACCTGTTCGCGCCAGTGCTCCGCCATCTCGCGCCTCTCGTCCGCCAACGGCCGCGGCACAGAGTTAATTATCTGGGACGATTCCAACGCTTTGGGCTTCAAGTTGATGGTTTTCTTCTTGCGCTTGTTTTCGCGTTTCTTCTGCTGGAACTTTTCGAGGCTGAGCGACGGCAACGCTTTGATCTTCGCATCCAGGTCGAAGTCTGCAGCTTTGAATGTTTTGTTTATGTTATTGTCTGATTCGGACGTTTCGACTTCGGCTTTCTCGCCTTCCGTAGAAGTATCGATCGTGGACGTCGATTTCGTCGTCTCGTTGACTAGGTCGTCCGGATAGCTCCCCGGATCCCAGCTACACGTCGCGATGTAGCCTTCGTCCATTTTGTCGCAATCTCTCCTCTGCCGTTTGACGAGTAGTCCCCCGACCGCCATGAACTCCTGGTAACGCTTCCCCTTGCACGACCTCCCCGATTTCTTGTCGTCGTCGGACCAATTCCTGATGTAGCCATCTTCGTCTTTCGAGTAACGCTTGTCGACGATTTGGTCTATCAGGTATTGGTCCTCAGGTGCACCGGCGCTCTTCTCTTCAAACTCTTCGGTGAATATTTTAGTGGTCTCAGTCAGGGCGTTCTGGAGTTCGCGTATGTTGTCTTCTTTTTCCGTTTGCTCTATGGCATTATGAGATCTGTATTCCGTGGGGGTTGAGATCGAGTTGAACTTAAAGGGGGAGTAGTACGGGTTCGGAGTAATGTTTTCAGTCTTCGCCGTGAGAAGGCTGCTGAGGCTTCCCATTTGAGCTTCGTCGGCGAGTTTGCCGGGAGTGAAGATCGACACTTCCTTCGGCTGGCTCTCTTCGTGTTGAGTGGTTTTTTTATTAAAGTCTATTTTAGTGGAGTTGTTGTTTGTCCTTTCGTATTCTGAATCATGGTATTCGACGCCGACGGCCTCGTGCTTGTCGCAATCGCGCGGTCGCGAGGAGAGAGTGCGGAGCGGTGGAGCCGGTAACTTGTACCACTTGAAGTCTGGGTTCGCGCTGAAGAAGGCGTCTTTGTACTGGAACAAAAAAGGCGTTTTATTGAAGAAACGCGTAATCGATCTGAGCTACGTCGAACAATGTTAATGTGTACCTGTTTAGCAAGACCTGTGTAGCAAGCTTTCTCTTCCTTGTCCAAGTTAGCCCACCACTCGCCGAGAATTTTGGTGATCGATCTGTAAAACGTTGTGATTGAGAATTTTATAGTGGTCATAATGAATTGTATAATACTCAGAATCGAAATGTGAATATCACCTGTTCTCCAGGTTGGGGTACTTGTCGCGCACGACGCTCCGGTGCCGTTTACAGAATATGAGGAAGGCGTTCATGGGACGACGCGCATGGTGCGCCGGCTCCGTCTCGCCGTCCATCTCCTGCATCTTCACTGTCTGTAAAAGACCGTACGCTAAACACATTGATAACATAGAGAACTCTTGAAATGAAAAATACAAAAGAACTCGAATGTGACCTCTTCAAGGAACAATCAGTTCCTTTAAGCGTAAATAATATTTTTATATAAAATGAACGAAAAAGATATTTAAATTAAATTTAAGCACGACGTTAATTAATGCCGACAGCTGGTTAAACCCAAAATAAGGAACTCTTGTGATGCAATGAGACAACGGTATTACTATATTAAATTAGGCACATAAAATAAGGTAACAGATAGATAACAACCCACCACCCTAAGACACTAACTTCCCCGGAATCTACTTAGAAGCGCCATGATCTTAATGAGTAAGAAATAGCATAGTAAAACATAATTTATATTTAATATATTATCTTTTATCGCTGTATTTTTTACAATTATTACGCAATATTTGCACAAGGGTACTTGCATTTACTTCATTCTGTCAAATAAATTGGTGTTATTAATAAGTATTAACTTTAATTTTTTTTTAATTTAAACAGTTTTAAATACTGTCTATAGTTTAGCGAGTAGTAAATTTAAATAAACACTTTAACGGTTTAAAACCGATATATTAGTTACTTATTTGAAAATGATTTTTAACTTCGGCCCGACGTTTCGTCTTTCAGGGGGGGGGGGGGGGGGGGGGGCCCCCCCGGGACACGGGCGGCGGAAAAGAATCCGAAACGTCGGGCCGAAGTTAAAAATCATTTTCAAATAAGTTTAACTAATATATCGCGTTTTAAACCGTTAAAGTGTTTTATTTAAATTAAACAGTTTTTTTTTTGTGCAATGAAAAATACGAAAATATTCAAATTTTGACATAATCATCGTGTTTTACTAGTGTAAACCTTTCATTTGATACCCATATTGAGGGGGTTAAGGAAAAATATGTCATCCGCCATTTTGTATCGGTGGCCATCTTAGATTTATAATGTTATTTATTATATTGTATTGTCATCTAAATTAAATGTGTATACCGAATTTCAGATCTATCTGACAACGGGAAGGTGCTTAAATTTTAATTTCTATTTAGGTCAAAATCAAAATTTTGAAAATAAATAAATTTCCTACGGGTCGATCTAAATACAACTGTTAAAAAAAAGCTTTCTATGAGCTTTGCATTTGCCTCATCGACCATAAAACAAAAGGGATAATATTATCGCGTATCGCAAATAGTCATCGACCTCGTTTATCAGTTATCACATGATAAAGACTTGCACTTGGCAAAGACACTGATAATGAAAACAATGAATGATCTCGCGACGTTCTTTATGCACCAAACGGTACCCACATTGAGCAAATCGTCACATATTTTTGCTCATACAATTTAAGTATACGTCATAAATATTAATATGTAGGTCAACATGTCTCAGAAAAATTATAGATTAATTAGGACAATGATGGACCAGGTGGAGATCGAACAACTGTATGTTACACAAATGTATGACGTAAGAAATAATCTACTCTCAGACATACCTAAGAATGTCACTGTATTTACGAATTGTAACCTTTTTATCACATTGACACACTTCGAACGACCTTTTTCGGCCCGTTATGTCTTCTGAAGAAAGTCAGAAATAACCAAAATTATATGTTTACTTATTGTAGCCTCGTAAGTATTTAGGGGCAACTATTATAAATAAATCGTCCTTAAATATTTAGCTTTATAGTTGGCCTTAGTTAGTTTGATCTGTCGGCGAAAACTGCACCAAAATATGTAGGCAGGTTTGAGAGATAAACATTATTCAAACAATAAAATTTGCAAAAACGTGGTAAAAACACGGCTAATAAGGAAGATGTTCTTTCGCCACTGTCACGTACAGCATGTGTTATTAAAAAGTCGTTATGGGTACTGAAAACATTCGCTTCTATTTAAAATAAAAAAAAGGAGTAAATGCTTTCAACATTATAAGGCCTGAAATAATGTTCCATCCTTACATCTTAGCTCGTTCGCATACCGATGGCTTTTGGATGGACAATTGAGGCTGCTAGAGCCAAAGTGGCCTAATAACAAAAGCCACGATTTTCAATAAGAAGAAAAATAAAAATGCCAAGTAATTAGGCAAAATAATTTGTACTATTATTTGTGTACGAATTATGTTAACAATTGTCGGTCTGTGCTTGTGATTCCTTTTTAGACTATGAAAATATGAATAACTGAATCATAAAAATTGATTAGGTATTGCTTAGCGGCCTCATTGCAGGAGACGTTTTAAGTTTTCGATGACAATTATGATAGCCTTGACCGTAAATCGAAGTGTGCCGAGGCTGCGCAGCGGGCACTGCCCGCCGAAAGTGAAAACTCGTGCGCAAGTCGCAACGGGACAACACATTTCAATCCTATGTTAGTCGTTAGATAGCGAAGTACTTTGATTTCTCGTGTTATATTATATTAACGGATAATCAGATTTTTTAATTATATTTTGTGATAGCTTAAAAGCTTAACTCTCAAGCTTCATCTCTGTGATTTCGGCTTCATCTCTGTGTTACTTATTTTGCGTTAATACTTGTATCATATACCTCCTTCATGAATAGTGCATAGACTCAAATTTGTCACTTCTTTAACCGAGTTTCTGCACCGCAATTAGTATATTCATCAGACCCTAATTCCGTCGCGTCTCGTGAAAGCCAACTTGATTACGTATTTAAATCATTTTTTGCATAGCAGGCTTTAAATATTGCAGCGGTAAAGGGGAAATATATTTTACTGTCTTTTCGGTACGGTAGCAAAAATCTAGCTTTAAAAATAATACAATAATTTTGACATTTAGTAGGTAAACGTAAATTAGTTAAAACGTCGTTAGCGGAATATATTACATAACTTCTTTTCAATTTATTTCAAATACGGCCTCACTTTTCCGATGCTGTGCAGCAGCAGTAATCACGGGGGGCTATAGATGAAAGGGATGTCTTAATGTCAAAGTCAAATCTTCTACGCTAACGCCATCTCTAGCTGTTCGCATTCTAAACCGTTCAAAGTGTAGCGTACTCGCGTTGACTATAGACAACTTTTATGTTTACGTCTTTGACTTTACAGTGTTGTAAATAACAAGGTAACCCTTCCTTAATATTTTTCCATAGTACTACGAGGATACCAGGCTAGCATAAACTCGAAGCGTCCGATGAGAAGGTTACAGATCATAACACGGCCCAAGGCCACATCTACGTGCGGTAATGCGAATAAGGCCTCGCTAATTCTTTTGTTCTCAATCCTCATTCGGCTATTATGTTTTATTTCGGCTGCGAAAACTTGAAATATTAAAAGGTTTTCTGTGTTCAGTGCTTCTTCAAAGGAAATATATCGACGAGACTTTTGCAAGGCACTCGCTTAAAAAGACTATGCTGGGCCGCTGTCAATCAATTTGTCGTTTTGAAAAGACGATTGGTTTATGTAATAAATTATTCTATTATATAGAAAATTTATTCTCTTTACATCGCATACGGTAAAAGTCCGTGAAAATTCCTGCGGAAACCTATGTGACAGTATTATGATGATAATAAAGACCAAAACATTATAATACTCATGACATATCTACTCCATGATAACCGGTAACTATTATATATGCGGTTGATAGGTATGATTTAACTAAGTACGATCAATTTATATCAGAATCGCTATAGCCGAGTAAAAATTAATTTATCTTAAGTACCGTCATCTAATTCAAACGCTGTAATTGCACGATTCATTATCGAACAGTGTAAAACAGGAAATATAGCCCACTCTATCAGTTTTATGTAAAAATATAAAGTTAAACGCATCGTGTGCTTTGTAATTAATACATTTTATTTTATCTGGCATGAGATTAATTGATGGAAAGTGAAATACCCCGTCACGGACAAGATGCGTTGTCGACCTATTATATCTTTGGACGTTTTGAAATACACAAGCTGACACCGAAACGCGTTTCGGGTTAACTCCTAAACCGGAATTTAATAGGTTAAGTAAAATTGGATTAAAAACCACAAAAAATATATATATGCGAGTACTTAACATGTAGACGATATTTAACTTTCATGTTTAGAGAAGAAAAAAAGCGTCAAAGAAAACGATATCGCTAATAAAGATCTCGTTTGAGTGTTTCCAATGAGAATATCGAGACTCGGCTGACATTTAGGACAATCTTGTAAACAACTTGAATTTTAGGCCACGTCCCGCGATCGCATGCTCTAAAATTAGACACTTTGACGAGCGAGCGTCGGATGTCAGAGGGGGTAAACAACCCTATCCAATTTTAGCAGTTTTATAACACTCAAGAAATGTATGCACTTTCAGTGCGCCGTGTACCAAAGAAAACAAAATCCTACCTTGTGCAACGCTCAGATAAATAATGGAAGGAATCTAATTACTTGCCCGTTTCCTCATTTGCCTACGTGCATGTGACGTCACAAATTGCTCACAATTATTGCCGTGTCGTTGATTCAATTCATCGTTCCACTTAATCGTAGTACGTTGTATGGGGCATCCTAGTTGCATGCGGCTTTTCACTCTTGCCATATAAATCTGACTGCCTTTGTAGCACAGGGCGTCTTAAAGTGCTGCTGCCTGCACTGCGTTAAGTCCGAGGGGTCTCGGATTCGATATTTTGGGGTAACAACGGATATAAGAGCAAATTGAAGATAATAATGCCACGTAGTGCCACGATAATAATAAGCAAATACTTAAATGGTTGTATTCATCTGTTTTTAAACTTTACCCCACCCCTCTTTTACCAGGGATATGCCAGCCCCATGCCCCACATAAAGTGAAAAGGGAGAACAAAGTTAGTTTTTTTTACAATCGATATAAACATCGGTCGTCTTTCATATAAAACTTCTAATTTTCGTACCGCACAAATGTCACTATCTCTACACCGAGGTGGATCGATAGATAGTAGAAAGCTGTGTTGGCTAACTAATATGAGCATGACTTAACCGTTTTTGGGGTTAGGAGTTCGATTCGCGGTTTCAATATACCTCCTGTAACCACCG